TCTCAGAAACTTGATATGGTATTATAACAAGGAATTTTCACCTAAAATTGTATTTCAAGTTCTCGAAATCTGAGTATGTCTATTTAAAAAAAATGTATTGAAGAAGCTTGAACTAAACAAAGTCTATGTCAAATTTGTGTTGTATAACAGTAAGAATTGTTCAGTGTTTTTTTCATTTAGTGCGTGTATGGAAATTTTTTTTTATTTCTTGCATAACTACTTTACATCATTGGCTAAATATAATATGTCACAAATGCATTGACATCAGACAGTCGTATTATTTAACTGTACTCATAAAGATTTTGAATGAATAAATTAAAGGTCGTTTTTAATAAAAAAAGAAATAAATAATTTGAGAACACGCAATACAAATAAATATAAAAAAATCACTTACTTCACACGAAATGTAGAATAAATAACACAAACACAAGTTCCAACAATACTGTTTAAACGCATGCTCGCAATAATTTAAAGTAACCTAAAATAACTTAAAAGCTGAAAATTGTCGTACTCTGAAATAGATTCATTGAACAATGGTCTTGCATCATGTGTTCTTGTGACAAAATCAGGAAGACTGTATGTACTCTTTTGAATGCCTTTAGACATTAACATTTCATTCTACATTTGTTCTACAGATAGAATTGTCAACAGAAATTGTTTGTTTACAGCATTATGATCGTTGTTTGCTGCTCTAGATTCAGAAATAATTACAGTATTGAAATCAGGGGGTACAAAATTAACTATTAAAAAATCAGACGAACGTATTAATCACATACTATTAGTGAATAGAAATCAAGCTTCTAAATGATCAATATAATTGTTCGTCAAACTGCTATATATCCAATAAAATTAATCCTGTACATTATGTGGTTAAAATTTCTTGAAATTTTCATATTTTTGTCAACAGGCCAAAAAAAATATTTAGTCAAAATTTAATGAAAATCAAACGACCCTAATATATTTTAGTCAAGTGGTGGGTATCCCCTTAAGAGCGATGACCAGATTGATAATATGCATTTAACTATTTGTCTAGTAATATAATTTGATAATGATGTTTAAAATTTCTCTTTTACTTTGTATAATTTTAACTCCTTCGTTTGCTATTTGTTCACAGCTAGCTTGAAGAATGCTTAACATGCTTGGTTGGCCAATATTGATCAACACACATTATATATACACATTCTGTTTTCTAAATTCTTTATTCTCATTGACATAACTATAAATGTACATGATGAAGCTTATATACTATACCGTCGTTAGCTAAGTTTTACCTTTGAACACATTAATTTGTATGGGTTGATGTGTCTGAGCACATATTTCTGTATATAAATGGCCGGGAAGTGTAAACAGTAGGATTTTTAGATATAAAGTAAACAATGTCATATTTCTTTTTGTCATATACATCAAAGAGACGTATCTGTACGACCAAAGATACTGAAAGAACATTCCTTATTATCTAAAATATCGCTAGTTCAAACATTGTAAACTGTTACATGTGTTATCACTAGGAAACAATCGATAATTTTGAGCATATAAATTGCCGGAAATATAGCCACTCTTGCTAGCACACAATTGTTTTAACTTTTCAATCGTATATCTCATAAATGTGTGTCCTCTGTGGACTCTTTTGTCGCATATTTTTGTCGTTTTGTTCATGTCCTTATGTAACTAGTGTGTATGTGTTGTATTTTTTAACGACAGATTGTAAACATAGGATTTGAACATGTATTTATGTATCATGTGTTGCACAACTACAGTTCTTATAATATTAAACAGAAGTTGATAAGAGAGCCACGTTTTGTCCGAGTTTATATTGATGCCACATAAGATTTCACCCTCTTTGTATAAGATTAATCACATTCTTCAATCTTTTTAAATATGATATAGTTTGGACACTTGAGTATATAAATGTCAGCTGTGATGTCACTGTGATGTCATCAGTATGAAACATTGATATAGATTATCTGTCGTAACATTTTACACAAAGATGTCTAAACCAACATCAACATCTTGGTATGAAGTTTTGTTTTTAGCAAACTATGATTTAGGGAAGGACTAAATCGTTTTACATAATGTCAGTGTGTTTTCTCTATCAAATAAACTTTCCTTTGTCGAACGTAAACTTTAAAACAAGTGGGTACCTTGTACCAGCAGCTCTTACTCAACTAAACATACTTTAATTAACATGCCTTTCTTACATTATATCATTGTGCACATCTTATTCTATTGTTATATCCAGTTGATTTATAGGTTTTTTAGTATCAAGACACACCCTTTCTACAAAATGGGGTAGTTATAGTGCATTATCAATTCTAGTTGGGTTTTTTTTAATTGTCGGGACATCAAGGACAACTTTAAATGCACTACTAATATTCCCATATATATATGTGTTTATATCTCGTAGCATTCAATAAGACAGTTGTCTTTATCTGATTTGTACTCTTTTTTATACCTAATTTTGCAGTAGTGACGAAAGTATAATCATGTAATATAATTGTCCCGGCATAGTGATAAGTGACTTGCTTATCTCCAGAAATTAATCAATTACTTGGTAGTTTATTTCTAAAAATGTCTTTTTCTTATTCATACTCTTGGTTGTGGGTGAAATAACGTGACACCCAAGTGTTTCGTTGGAAAAGTGACCGTCGCCCAATACCTGGAATCAGGTATCTCGATATTTACTGAAAAGGACGACTTCAAACTAGAATCTACAAACGTGAGGATTTTAACTTTCCAATTGTCAACTTCACATTCATTCCTCAGCAGTAATTTTTGTTCATTAAATAGATAATGCCATTGTAGTATGTTATTTATTCATAATGACTTTTAAATATTGAGTGTATATTTAAGGGCGTAAATGTCTATAACTTTACTTGCCTTCATCTTATTATTTTGTACAAAAATAACAGTAAACATGGGGTGTACGTCAGAGAAACAGCAACACAACAAAACAAAACAAAACGAACAGATATGAGGAGGTGAACATACAACATACAGTTTTCTATCATAAAGAGATGTTTATACAATATGTCAAGCTCTTTATCACACCAGCTTTGAAAAGAGTATTGCATATATCAGTCATCCACAGAATGATGAAACTCATATTGACAAAAGACAACTACTAACGAGGTTTCTGACTTGGTACAAGCACATGAACTGATGACGTTGACAAAATATTTTTTTGAAAAACTCAGATGCAACTGTCCGTTTTTATCGCAATCAGCAGAAACGCACTTACTTTAAAATAACGTAATATTAAGCTAGCAATATACACTTAGGAAAAAAACTTAAAATTGACACTCATAATTTTTAATTACCCACTTTACTAACAAATCAGACTTACTGTTTGTGTCATGTATGTGCATATGTATGGCCACAGAATATTCCATAGATTAGATTTCCAATAGTTCAAATAGTGAAATATCACTCGTTTTGTAAACATGGAAAATATCTGCATTTATTAAATACAAAATCTTGCAACAAAGGGGTTGAAAATGTGACAAATGTCCAAAAATTTGTTCCAAAGTAGGATTTTAACCAGTTTGAATGATACCTTTTCTAAAGCCATTAACATCAAGAGGTTTAATAAAAATCAAATGCACTTCACCTCATTTTTCGATAAATTTGAATTGAAAGTTCGAGCGTAAAATATATATTGGAAAATATTAATGTATTATTACAATATTTCTGGATCTATGGGCGGTACGGATAAAAAAATACGGACTGTCAAACAGAAACTAGTCTATAAAACATGCAAAAACAGTCTTGCTGTTCATATAAACCCATTTTTAAGTCATATTCTTTATCTATCTAAAAATCAATTGTATTGCACAATAACTTTCATACTTGAAAAATTCACCGGGGCAAACATACGAAACCAAACTCCTAATTGTGTATTGCTACATAAATTTAAAACAAAACAAGTACCAATAATACAATATTTAACAGTATCAAAGTATGCTCCCAGTAACTGAAACAACTTAGTGCTTAAACACGGACATTTGTCCTACTCTGAAATTAATTCAGGGACAAAATGGCCTAAACTATTATGCTCTCGCATTAAAAATCGAGATTTCTGTAATCTTTTTGAATACCTGACGACGTCAATCTTTTTTTTTTTTGCACATACAAATATCCGGAAATATGCAGAAAGAAAAATAGGTTAGCAACAGTAAGATCGCCGTTTTAAAAGGTAGCTTGCGATAAGGAAACATACAGTCAAATATGTTGTCTTTGTGTCTGTCCAAAGTCATGAGCCTGTAATTCAGCGGTTGTTGTAGATTGTGGTAGGTTGCTGTCTTTTTTACTTTTTTCGTTCATTGTTTAAGCATACATCAGGCTATGTCGTTAAAATTGTTCTGCATTTAGGTCAAGTAAGACCGTTTAAAGCTGACTATTCAAGACGGGTTTTCTTATTGTTGAAGGCCATACAGTGACCTAGAAAATGGTTGCTTACATACAGATCGTTTGGTCTCTGTTTGATATTTGTCTCATTTGCAATCATACCATATTTTTGTATAACAGGGAAGTAAGGATAGGTTTTTATATTTACTTTAAAATTACATATAATCTTGGTGAAAACGTTGCCTATAGGTCGTAAAAATATAATTATATGATGCCGTTAGTTTAGTCTGTCCTAATTCCGATACATGTATACCTCCAGCACATTTTTGTTTTTGCGTTTCTGGCGGGTAGGGGTGCTTACAGTCATGGTTATAAACTCCCTTATACGTTTTCTATTTTAATTTCAAGTTGATATACAAGCACAGTTGTTTTCTATTGTTCAAAAGTATATTTGAGAACAATACAAAGCGCATGTAATTGTATTTGGCTAAGGTAAGATGTAAAATACAATGTAACACAATGCCAGGTCAATGTAACATTTCCGTGTTTTACTTATCTATGTTTAAATGTTGTTTTTGATTATATACAAAAGTAGTTAACAAGTACTTCCTGTTTAATATTAAGTATTTCATTTGATTTAACGGAAAATATTCCTCATGCAAGGTATGTTTGAGTAAAGTACAAAATATATAATGTGTTACAGCTTGAACATTGAAAGTATAATAGTACGTGTGTCGTTGTTTTTATTTTGCAACAGGTGTAAATGCAGAGTGTCATTGAAGGACGTTGATTTATTTCTTACATTGAATTTCCTAAATGAGATATTACAAATGTAAACTATCTTCATAACGTCATGGTACTTTTCTATTCTACATAATTACATTTTAATGTTGTATATCAAAGCACACATATTTAACTATGTAACATTTGTATTATTGATATTTTAGAACAGCTCTCTAGAATGTTAGATGAAACAACACCTAATATGTTATCAGTGTTACTTATCCTCACAACTGTTATGTTGACAGTTACTGCACAGGGTAGGTCATTTAAAGCTTGCCTGAAATACTTAAGATTTTCTACTCCAGGAATAGAAAGTCTGGCGTACAAAATTTTTATCCTTGTATCTAGGATAATAAAATTGAGAATGGAAATGGGGAATGTGTCAAAGATACAACAACCCGATCAAAGAGCATAAAACAGCCCAAGGCCACCAATTGGTCTCAAACGCAACGAAAACAAATCGCTCACCCGGAGGCGGGCTTCAGCTGGCCCCTAAACAAAAAGTGTGTACTAGTTCAGTGAAAAATGGACGTCACACTAAACTCCGAAACATATAAATGAACTAAAATAAAAAAAAAAAAAAACATACAAGACTAACAAAGGCCAGAGGCTCCTGACTTGGGACAGGCGCAAAAATGCGTCGGGGTTAAACATGTTATACCTCTGGCCAATGTATAATAAACAAAAACACAGCAATACGCACAGTAAAACTCAGTTTAAAAGAAGTCCGAGTCCGATGTCAGAATAGGTAACAGAAGAAACAACGCAAAATGACAATGACACTGACACATAAATTAACAAAGGACTACTAGCAGTTACTGACATGCCAGCTACAGACCTCAATTAAACTGATTGAATGATTATGTCTTCATCATATGAAAATCAAGCACAATCTCTCTCATTAGGGGTTTAGTATCATATCTTCATAAAATATATAAGGAGAACATAACCCGTATCATGCCAACAACTGGTGTTTATTTCCGATGAAAAGACCCAATGAGGGAATCAATATTAGTTCCAAAATATGCACAAAAATTTTTTATATACACACGAAAAATAGATTATAATAAGGAATTTTAAACTTTATTCGATACGCGGCCCTGGTTTCCTTCTTTAATAACACTGACACAATTCACTATAAAATAAGGAGATATGATATGATTGCCAGAGAGACAACCAGCCGCCAGGCCAAACAACGTGGATTTAAGCAATTATAGGTTACCAGTTTACGCGGTTATTACACGACGGTTGCTACTAGAAAGTCATTATCTGCTTACCCTTTCCTAAGGTAGCGATGTAAAATTATTCTTGGTTTTTAGTAGGGTTCATATAGGTCAATCGTTAGCTTTTAATGAAGTGTTTTGTGGATTCCATTTTTCCATCTTATCAAATTTTATCAGAAATTAGACGTCCAGTGTTAATCAGGTATTTATATTGGAAGCTTGTATTTTGACATCTTTGTAAGTTTATCAATTGTGTAAAAGTTGTTTTGGACTAAATTGTTTTTAGGTTAATACAAATGTAAAGCAATGTTTACCACAAAACAATCAGCTCATCTCAATATAACTTACATAAATTTAACCGGTATGATTGTATTGCGTTAATATGAAAATCTGCATATATTGATTTATACCTTGCCTAAGACAAAACATCCATTTCAACTGTAAAGCTTTACTAAGGGGAAGAATTCAAAGTTTGTTTTCGATTAATCTATTCAGACAGCATGATGATTAACGAGGAGGAAAAAGTGTTTTCTAAAATGTTTTTCACTACAGAACTATAAAAACTGAATGTAAAGCTAATCTGACTTTTACAAGAGAGATTAAAGTATATTATGTTTTTTTTAGTATTTGATCTTTTTACAGAGAACCTTACACCATATGGAAACGCTACACAAGGGCCAATGTTTGGTAGTAATGGAAAACCAGATAATGCTGTTAAACCACCAATTTCTAATGAATATAATTTGTCTATTTGTACAAAAAGTTGGACAGATAGGAGTAATGTACCAGCATGGTGGATGTTCGAATTTTCCTATGGCATTGCATACATTACAGATATAACAATATACTACAGAGAAAATTGTAAGTCATTTAGTATTTAATCACCATTTAAAAACACTTTAAATTAAATTACACATTAATATTCTTTTTTCAGTACATTCCTTTATTCTTTTTCTATCATGTCAGTCAGCAATCATATAGCAAGACCTATTTTGCTGCAATCTTTAATATCTTTAAATTACAATCCACATATACTACTGGGTCCTAGTTCAAACAAAAATAAGTTAATACGGTAGCACAATGCAAAGATTTTGTCATCCTCTATCAGACAACTTTAAACTGATGTTATTACTTTCATACATCTCTAAAATTCATAAGTGATATGGAACAATGAACAATTATTCTTTCACAGTCTTGCATCTAAGCCCTTCAGAGTGAAAATTTCCCATATCTTCTCTAAATAATAAAATGGTTAATTAGAGCTGTAAATCTGTCGTCTCATGCTGATAAAGGGACAGATAATAATACTTAACAAACAGATGTTTAAAACAAAAAAACTGAGTTCTTTTCAGTAGAGATGATAATACACAATGTGTCCAGTTTCTGATATTACCACTAGGACAGGAACAATGAAATTAATTGAAATTTTGTTTTATTTTAACATTTGTTAACAAATCATAGAAATTAAATATTATAAAGGATGAAGGAAAGTTTGTGAAGTTATATTTCCATACACATTAAAAAAAAATTGAAATTTTTTAATTTGACTTTCTATAATTTTAATTTGTATTAGTATGTTTATACTTGTAATTAACTAAATTTTAATATTCGCATTTATAAATATTGATAAGTGGTGTGTATTTACTAATAATTCCTTCATACAACGATTACAACCTATTATCAAGAAAACCAAACATGTGGTATTCATCAACATACAAACATTTTTAAATAATTGAAGTGACAAATTTATTTGAAAATTTTGTGTTTTCTAAGTTGTGTATCTGATAAGCTGATTTTCGATCCAACATCATTTTGATTTGCTTAGTTGTAGGACTGTTTCAATGGTTATAATTTCATTCTTACATTGTTTTTACATAATTGGTTATTAGATAGATTGTGATATACACTTTTGAATGAAATTTGTTTCTTTGTTATTCACAATGTGTCAAACTTTTTGATAGATTCTTGTGCAAGACAATTTGACCCCCTAAAGGGTGTTTCCGATTTTTCCTCTTGTATTTCATTCTCTCAATTAAGTTTGCTGCCTTACTTCTTATGAAATCTCTAGATTTAAATTGGATATAAAATTTGTCCTTTTCATGTTATTTGAAATCAAAGACACCCTTTCGATGCTAACTGGTCAAAGAACAACATGTGCCAAAATCAGACATGTTGGAGCACCCATTTAGGTGCTCATTTCATTTAAAACTACATTTCTATGACAAAGATGCATGTGTCACAAATTGAATAAATAAGGTTTTTCCTACTTGAACCTCATTAACTGGAATATAATTCACAAATGTACCATTGGGATTCTTCAGGATAGTCCTTTAATCATAAATCAATTTAGTTTTGAGCCATAAGAAAGCATTCCATCTTAGCAATTCTAAACATATAAAGAAAATGTACACCCTGTGAATCAAAAATCAGATCTGGCGGGAGAAGTTATATCACAATTGAACTTTCTCTAAGTCAGTTGCTACGGTATGGTCATACCTCCACTCACTTTGATACACATTAACTTTTAATAATCTCAGATGTTTAATTACAAATTGCATGTGTTTCATTTTATTTGGATTTTAAACGATGCATTTTGTTTTTTAATATTTTCCCAATAAAATAATCTGTTGGTCAGTTTAGAGGATTCATTTTGGGGATTTTTAGAATTATAATTTTATACAATGAAAATATGAAAAGAATACAGAGTTACGGCCTCTAACCACGGTAACGGGTCTGTAGATATCTCATGAGAAATTGTGTATTTAGTTTATTTAGACATTCTTATTGGTAAAGATAAGTATTGAATTTGGAAAGAGAACATTCCCTTAGTGATTTATCACCAGCAATTCAAGAATTTATCTTGAAATTACATAACTATTTTGTAAATTATGACCAAATTTGACACTCAAGAAAAATCCAATACGGCGTCGTATGCCGAGGCTTTCATAAGAGGACCTTAATCTGAACAATCCGATTCTATATCCTCAGTTAAGCCAGTATTTATCGAAGAATCTGATATATTTGGAGATTTCCCAAAACTCACTATTAAAAGTCTGTATTTGACAATAGATGAAATGTACCAAGCTGTAGGTGCAGTAGTACCAAGAAGATCAATTAAAGGTCTATAAAGAAGAAGAAGTGTATGGAGGATATTCCTAGATACAGAAAAAGATATAGAATGTTTACTTTCTGACGGGCTTGAGCTTCGAGGAAAATCTATATCAATATATTCTAGAAATCCCCGTGTCCTCATTCAGGAAAATTCTACAGATGTCAAAATCCGCGTGAAAGATGTACCCCTCTTGGGAGATGATGGACAAGTTTTGAAAGCATTAGAGGAGTAAAACTGTATAATTCTTAAACACTTCAGGGAAAGATTAAGATTCGAAAATATGATCACAAACTGTCAGACAGGAGACCGGATAGTCATCTGTGCAGGCCCATTAACCATGGCAATTCCCAAATCAATACCGATCGGGAAATACAGACCCACCATACTTTATAGAGGTCAACAGAACGACAATATCAAATGCAATAAATGTATGGAATTTGGTCACAAAACTAGAGACTGACAGAATGAATGGAAATGCAGAAGCTGTGGAGAATCAGTCCACAAACAAATTAAAATGAATGTACAAGTGATATGTCTTCCAACCATGAACAAGAAAAAACTCTAGCATACAATGTACATGATGAAGATCAAATGGAGCATTTTGAGCCTAATGCACAACCTCAGGCAGAGGATAACGAAGATTAGAGGCTACTCAACCACCAGTAGATGCAGTACCAAATACAGCAACTCTAACAACATGCATCGAAAGTGAGTTGCAACAATCTCAATCAATCCTAACAGAGATTGTCACTAGCAATTAAGAACAACCTAATAATATTCCTCAAGCGGCTAGGCCAAAAATCAAACCTGCTCGCAGAGAACATAATAAACTTGTACATACATCTACATGATCTAGCAAATCTAGTTGAATTCCAAACAAAAGCTCCGATCAACAGCAAACCACCAAATTCACAACAGTTCAAACTTTATCTAACGCCAAAATCATGGTACCCCAGTGAAACCAACAACTAGCTGTGGACTAGAAAAAGTCACCAGTGACTCCTACTGAAAAACTTCACGACGGTGCTAGTAACAACAGTACAAAACGATCAAAAACTTCAAATAAATAGTAATCCGTCTACGTGTTATCAATACTCAATAGTGAACATTGTAACATTGTATTAAACCTATTTTATTATATATTATATAAAAAAAATGCAATTAAAATTGAGAATGGAAATGGGGAATGTGTCAAAGAGACAACAACCCGACCACAGAACAGATTTGTTGTACATAATTCTAGCTCTTCTATCTGTATATATTGTACATTTTAGATTTTATCCATATCACTTGAAGTTTCAACTTTTTGAAAGCCAATTTTCATTGGTATGTTCATATATCACCTGTCAAGATCAGTCATCATCTTCTTATCCTAAAAATAAAGATAAGACATTTTTAACCAATCACATTTTGGCGATGAAGCAAAAAATTTTAAGTTTCAAGCAAACAATTTTTCAAAATATTTTATTTGTCAAAAATTTAAACCCTGAAATAAATAAAATGCAAAACAAACTAAATGTAAAAGTGTGTATAATCACAATTTCAAACCAATATACCTTAAATACAAATATGTTAGCAACATTGACTCTTATACTTTGTACTAAGTTCAAAATTGTTTTTATTATTTATACATGTATGTGTATGTGCAGGCATGCGCATATACATATTGTTCTTTTTATATGTGTTTTGAATGTATATTTCAAGATGAAGTGCATATACACTTATATTTACTTGATTCCAAAAGACACTGAATGTACTCAAATTATGAGGTACATGTCAATGTCTGTTTTTGAAGTCACATGGATGACCCAAATAATGACCCATGGGGTAAAAGAAAACAATAAATTTGTCTTATTTTTATATGTAACTTGTAATTGTATGTTTTTAACAGAAACAAACTGTGCTAACAATTTACTTGTGAACACATGTAAAACCATTCAAATTAAATATGTAGGATGGCAATTTCATACTTTTTGCAGAAGGGCTTTTAATACAAGTACATGTAAAAAATTAATACTGTTTATAAACATTATTTACAAAGATGATAATAGTAAAACTTGTAATGATTTAAAAAAAAAACACATTGAGATTCAAATATAAAAGAATAATAAATAGTGTGTGCTTATTTAAAAGACAAAGTACAAGTCGATTCATAGATTAAAGTCCTTTTAAAACCGAGAATAGTGATAAAAATAAAACAACTGAAAAGATGTCCTCTGATAGTCTCTGTGAAGGTCAAATAAAGTGTGACCTAATTGCTATCACTCTGAACGGGGATTTACCTATGTTTACTGAACCTAAAAGCCTAAAAGGTGTTACAAATAAATTAACTACTCACCAACTATGGTATTAAACAAACATCTTCATTTCTGTACAGTTAATTGTAAAGGCCTACAGCAACCTGATAAAAGAAAAAGATTATGCAAGAAACACACTTTACAGATAATTTGATAAACAATTTATATACTGAATTTGAAGGCAAAATTTTACTAAGTAATGGTTCAAGTAGTTCAAGAGGTATTGCCATATGGCTGAACAAAAATATAAACTTTAAAATTATTGATGACTATAAAGATAATGAAGGAAGACTTTTGCTTGTTAATATTGAAATAAATGACACTATAATAACAATAGTTAATATTTATGCACCAAATAATCAAAAAAGCAGAAATACTTTTTCTTAAACTGTCCACGCAGTAATAGAAGAAAACAGTTTGGGTCAACTAATTCTAGGAGGAGATCATAATGACATTTTATCCCATATTGATTCAAAGAGCAAAATTAAGCAACAAAAAAAATAACAAGATAGTTCATAACTTAAATAAACTTATAAAGTCCCTTAAGCTCAATGATGTGTGGAGAAACAGAAATCCAAATAAAATTTAATTTACATGGAGTAAAAAAGATAGATCCGAGTCAACAAGAATAGATTATTTTTTAATAGCTCCTGAAGTATTCAAAAACTGTGTTTCATGTGATATTAGACCAACAGTATTACAATACACAGATCACACAATCATGTGTTTCTTTAAAAATCAATTTAAACAGAGGCCAAAAAGGAAGGGGATACTGGAAACTGAACAGTAGTGTTCTTCAAAAGGAAGACTATGGTGAAATAATTATGAAAATAATAAAATTATAAAAACAAAGCAAAAATGAAAACTGATCTTGACATTCTGTGGGACAATTTCAAAATTGAAGTAAGAGACCAGACAATCAGCTATTGTAAAACAAAAGCTAAGAATAAAACAGACAAAATCAGCAAGTTGGAAAAATTTGAACAGAATTAAATAGTAGTATAGACACATGCAATAATAAAAACAAAAATAACTTATTACAAGATGTAGAAAATATAAAAAATGAAAATAGGAAAACTCTATAATGAGAAAATAAAAGGTAATCAAATAAGGGCACGGGTTAAATGGGAATAAATCATCATATTTTCTAGGGATGGAAAAATCTAGGCAGAGTAGAAAAATAATAACCCAGTTATATGATGATAAGGGTCAAGTTACCAGAGATCAAGACAAATTATTAAAATTAGAAGCAAATTATTATAAAAATGTGTACTCTACAAAAAATCCTGAGATAGAAGAAAAAAAGGTATTTAGACTCTCTCAAGGAATATAAGAAATTAAATGACTGTGAAAGTAATACTTGTGAAGGGGAACTAACTGTTGATGAATGTTCTGATGCAATTTTTAAAATGAAACTTAATAAAGCTTCTTGGCTTGATGCATTAAATGTGGAATTTTACAGATAATTCTGGGATGAACTTAAAACTTTTATAGTCTCTACTTTTAATTACTGTTATGAAAAAGGGAAGCTATCTAAGACTCAGAAAGTTGCTTTAATATCCTTAATTTATAAGAAAAATTACCCTTTATCACTAGACAATTATAGACCGATTACTCTTTTAAACTATAATGCAAAATTACTTACTTATGCCTAAGCACAAAGATTAAAACTCCTTCTACCAAAGATCATACATACTGACCGAAAAAGGATATGTCAAAAAATAGGTACAGTACTACCTGTGACATTATCTGATTAATGGTGGCCATAAAAAATATGGTCACCATGATGGCCCTAAATGTCCATCATTATACCCCCTGCTGCTTATTTAATACACAAGGTATTAATCAAAAACTAGTCAAGGATAAAGAGAAATCATGACTGCATTGAAGTGTTAAAATTACATAACTTTCAGGTAAAGTGTCTCAGGGAAAATATATGACTTTTTGTGTTTGTCAAATTTAATAACTGTGTTTATGACAAGAAAATTCTATAATAAAATGAAATATAAAACTAGTAAGTTGAACATATAGCTTCCTAACTTCTTTTTTGTAAAAATTTTCTCATGACTGTTTGCAAATGTTTGTTTTGATGTTATAACTTTTAAATAATTCTATCAATTTAAGTTATTTTTACATGTATTTTTTGGCAAGTGAATAATAAATGAATATCATCTTCTAATATAATGCAAACTTTCACAACGCCTGCCTTTTCCCATTGAAAAGGTGTTTCTCAAATTAATATTCGAAAATCAAAATTGTTTATACTTACTGCATTTAACATTGTTTAACAAATGTTTAAGATTATCTTTAGGACTTATTCTAAATAAAATTTAGGCAATTCATTATTTCTCTATTGAATAAATACTTGTATATTCAAAATATTCATTATAGAAAAATTTGATAATTTTTTATTGTCATATAAACATATTACAATTTAATCAAGTTTCTGACAAAAAAAACCAAAACAAACATTATGATGCAAAGAAATAACAATTCTATAAGAAATCAAAACACATGGAAAAAAGTTATAAGGTTTCTGCCCTCAGTTCTAATGACTTTCTTTTATAAAGGAGCCAATTTTTTAAACATGTACCATGTTATAGAGGTTTAGCATTTCTTTTGCTTTTTGTTCTTGGTTAAGATTTTATTCATAAGATTCAAGATTTTATTCATAAACTGGTCAGAGACATTAATATGAAAAGGTAAACAATTTTCAAATAGATTATCTCTAAGTTGTTATGTTAATTTTAAAAACAATTTTATCCTTTATAGGAATTTTTATTCACCATTTTCTATTTCTAAATTATGACCACTAATTCTTTACTTAGTGAAGCATTTGAGTTTACTGTTATCACAAGTTTTTATTTTATTTTCAAAATTATTTTCTTATTTTTTTCTTATACTTCATTTTTAATCAAGGGTTTTAAAGAATCTAATTCATTCAAGCCCCTGCAATTATTAACTTTATCTAAAAGGCCTGAGTTGAATGAAATATTCTTTGCAAATGTATACCAAGAATATATATCATGCATATGCCAGTCCTGCAGTTTCGACAATATAATACACAGAACAAAAAGTGATTTAATTAATAGACCATAAAAATGTAACAATCTATACAGAAGTGTACTTTATTTTTTCTGGAGACAAAGTTTGCCTGTTAATTGACAAAATTAGCCAAACTGAAGATAACATATTTGATAAGTTTACAATTGTTTCAAAAAGCAAGACAATTTTTTCTATAAATAATTTCTTTGTAAGTCTCTTTGGTGATTCTTCATGCAAAACTCGTTTTGAGATTTGAAAAATATCAAAGATAAACAAAAATAGTTTATTCCTATACCATATAATGATATTTGTAGTTTTCCTGAATAATAATCATGATAATAGATTGTACAACTTTGTTAACAAAATTTATTGTAAAAGGATTGATATTCATGATATTGATAATTTAAATTTGTGAACAAACTGGCTTGTTAAATTACTTGCTTCATGGTTCCTTTAAACATATCATTTGCATGATTTTAAGTTATAATTAATAATAATTCATTTAATAATGCAAACAAACAATAGAATACCATGTACATCATGTACAATAACTTTTTTTTTACTGAAAAAAATAATTATTTAAGGGATTCTCTCTTTTGTTTTCAAATGCTAGTCAATAACTTATCTTTGAATTTTTGTCATTTCTAATCAAGATTCTTTCCAAGAAGACATTAAATGAATAAGAAGCAAAAAACAAATAAAAAATAATAATAACATAAAAAAATAATAATAACATAAAAAAATAAAAACGTTAGAAAAAAAGGAAAATATGTAAATTTAAAGACAGAAAAATCAACATATGATATGAATTAACAAAGACTAAAACAAACATTCTGTTCTTCATTTTCAAGAAAAGGTGAAATGTCAATTTGAGAAGAAACCTGAGTTAGATGTACCTGTACAGGTAAATTTTAATGAAACATACAAGCTGAAAACTTCAATGCTGATTGATTTCAACAGGTAACATAATTAGATAAAACATCAACCTATGTTTTATGACCCCAATAAATGGCCAACATCTCAAGATTGAATACCCCAATAAATGGCCACCATTTGATGGTGATCATACAAGAGGGTGGGCATAACTAAGAGGAAGTCACAGGTTGTACTGTATATTGGTTTTAATATTCGGCAAATACAAGATGTCATAGACTACTCAGAAACTTTTAAAATAGATGGGGCAATTTTGTTCCTCGATTTTACAAAAGCATTTGACTCATTAGAATGGGACTTCATGTTTGAAACTTTAAAGAAATTTGGCTTTAAAAATGATTTCATAAGGGGGGTACAGACAATGTACTCTGATATTATAGGATGCATTATTCATAATGGATGGGTTTCTACCCGTTTCAGGGCATCTCGTGGTTTCCGACAAGGATGTCCGTTATCATCATTACTATTTGTTTTAGCTGTAGAAGTTATGACAATTAAGATAATGGAAAATAAAAACTTAAAAGGACTAGAAATAAAACTAGACAGTAAAAGCAATACTCTTAAAATCTGCCAATTCGCTGATGATTCTACTCTATTTCTTCAAAAAAAAAAAAGACGTCTCTCTAGCAATTAATTTAATAGAAATATTTGGTACTTTCTCAGGTTTAAAATTGAATAAAACAAAAACTGAAGGGAGATGGCTAGGCCAATTGAAACATTGTCGGGAAAAATTTGAAGACATAAATTGGTGTACTGCACCTATCAAAAGCCTTGGAATTTATTTTGGTTTCAATAAACAAGAATGTCAAAAATTAAACGTTGAAAAACAACTTTAAAAATGTTTAAAAATAATATCTGATTGGAGTAAAAGAAATCTCACTATTATAGGAAAAATAGTTGTCATAAATCACTTGTTTTGCCAAACCTAACATATGTTGCATCAAACACTATTAGTTCTTAAGAAATGTTGCAAGATTTTAAAACTTTAATATATAATTTTATTTGGAAAGGTAAAAGAGACAAAATAAAAAGATCCCCACTTTCAAATGATTTTTTGGAAGGGGTACTTAAGATGACAGACATTAATGCATACATAAAATCACTGCATATCAGCTGGATTATGAAATTAAGTGAAGATAAAAATGATAATTGGACAATTATTCCCAAATTGTATTTCAACAAATTAGGAAAACTTCTTCTTGTATTTAAAATGAATTCAAAGAATATAAACGACATTGACAGAAATAATTTACAATATTTACCAGACTTTTATAAACAACTAATTAAAGATTGGATAAGTGTAAAAGGAGGTAATACAAAGTATTCCGAACGTTTTTTTTTTTTTTTTTAAATTAGAAAACAAGTTCTGTGGGGAAACGATAATATCAGGTTTAACAGAAAATGCTAAAATTTGGAAGATAGGATAAAAAGTGACATTATCAATATAAATGATATCATTGATAAACAGGGTAAAATCTCTGAAACTATCATCTTATCTAAACTTAAATATAAACAAAATTGGATAAAGCAAATATATATTATGTTAAAAAAAGCAATACCAATTAATTGGAAAACAACTCTTAGTACTGAAGATTCTATTAAAACTAAGGTTAATGTCGTAAATGACTTAAAAAGTATGTACTAGACAATAACTCCTTTAATGAGCACAAGGAAAATCTTCACACTAAAAGAAAGTTGTGATAAACCAAATGATTTTCTCATGTGGGAAAAAATATTTGAGAAACAATTAAATTCTAAGGTAAAAAAATAACTTTGTTTTTATTTTTCAATATCTCACTGATAATAGATTGAAAATATTCAGATGGAAACTTATTCACTACATACTGCCATGTAATGAACTTTTGAAAAAGTAGAAAATTACTGAGGACAACTTATGCAAGCATTGTAAAAAAAATGAACACTTTTTTGTCAAATGGTCATTTAATACTGATTTTCTTAATATAGTATTGAAATTAATGAAATCTCTTGGTATTGACAAAGACATTTTAAGCCTTGAAAATTTGGTAACAGAGTACAAAATTGAAGACGCAGTATACTTTGATATTAATTACTTATTAACAATAATATCTTTTTCAATATACAAAGCACATTATGTCTCAGAAAAGAAGACAACAAAAAATAATCATTTTTAAAATTTTTCAGAAAGAAAATTCAGAAATTATTTGATAATTCTAAAAACAAATAGATTCATTGGAAAGTATCAAATGAATCAGAATTAAATCTATGTTTGATGTTTTGAAACAATACCTCTACAGTAAGTACAGAACATTGTATGAACAATTGTTAATTGTGCACAAGCCAAATATGGTCATGTTTATTAACAGGTTCAACCATGCATGTGTCCAAGATACGTTTGTAAGCATGTTCAACCATGCATGAGTCACGACATGTAACATACTGTATTTTTAGATTGTAAAATGTGTATTCACAAACGTTAAACAAAAATAGAAATACATGTATCAGCAAGTTCTTAATTATTAATTAGTGTAGAGAAATACTTTGTAATCTCAGATGAATAAATTATATAACTTGTGCAATACATATACACGTCGGCATAGTAAAGATCAGTAGATAACTAAAAAAACCTTGTATACTTACCAAAGTGTATCAAATAAGTTACATCCTGTTTATAATAATAATACTTAGATGAAACATCCGATATCGCACATGTGGTTACTGATCACGAAGCAGCACTGTGCCCAAATCTAAATGGAACACGGATCACATCGCTAACGGAGTTGGTTCCGGAAAACCAAGTTATAAAAAAAAACGAGGATCTGTATGTGTATTCACAATGATTTATTTAATTCCTTTGTGGAATGAATTGTATTATAGATACTAATATTATGAATAAGTTATATCTTACCAAATAGTGCTTCCCTTAACTACTAGGTAAACTAACATGAGGGATACTAAGTTAAAAGCTGTAAACTTAGTAGGTTGTTACAGCAAATATGCAATAAAGATATTGTTACGTTAAAAAAAAAATGAAAATATAAAAATATGATGTTTTACACAACTTGAAGTCATTTCTTTATAAGTTGGAAAAATTTTTAGTTGTGTTTTGTGTAAAAAAGAATTCATATTTAAACATTCTCTTCAAGAAAATTTGATATTAGAATCATCATTAACATCAGAAACAAATGTTGTTCAAATGTACTTTTTTAATATAATGTACCTGTTCATTTATATTTTGATTTCTTTATCAGATCAAAATAGTTTCAGGCTCGGATCTAGGATTTGATGTTAAGGAGGGGCGCTTCTGAGAAGTAGAAGTTAGATAACCATATTTTGGAGTGTTCTTGTTTTTTTCCTCCTTGCAGCTCTATTGTATTGATGTATTTTAACTTCGAATTAATTTTAACTTCGAAATAATTGTCTTCGATTTTTCTATAAACCTACAATCCATTTCTTTTTCCATACTCAGTCTGTTAATTTTCATGTTTACTTATGTGCTTTGTCCATATGCCATTTTGCTTTTCTTTGTTGACATATTTGTTTGTGTTTATAGGGATTAGGATTATAACACAATGTTGACTGCTGTACCTCTATTTTTGACATTTTTACCTTAGTTTGTTTTGTTCACACATTGTTGTCAATATAATGGAATTTTATGCGACTGTCATACAAGTGAGAGAATGACATCCATTCGTTAGATGTGTTTGAATCTTTGAATTTGCCATTTGATAAGGGATTTTTCGTTCTGAATTTTCCTTTGAGTTCGATATTTCTGTTATTTCACTTTTAAATAGCTGGTCAGCTGACATACAGTATTCAGATAGCTCTACTGATTAACCACAAAGCACTTGCCTGATGAATAGCTTTTGATTTCAATATTTTTAACCAACGTCTTTAGTTTCAAGTTATATCACAAAGAACCCGACAGTCTATTTTTCTTCCTTAATAATTGAACTTTGATATTCTTTATTTTCTAATACAGAATTATTTAGTTATCAAATGCCACGCCTTTTTCCGACGTCCCCGTTTCAAATATTAATTTACTGAATTTTTGCAGGTTTAAATTTGCATACATCTGTCTGAGGGTCTTAAATTGCTACCAATCAAGATTAAATCTATCCTTCCTCCTCGACTGCGATTTATCTTTTCTCCTCAAACTATTGTACGTATTGTACGTTTTCATTCATAACTCGCTAAATATCAATAAGATTATTTGTCTTTATAATGATTACACGCTAGATACTGGTTGTTTGTTTCGGTGATTGTTATTTGCACTTATTCTCTCAATATGTTTTAATGTTTCATTAAAAGAGAGGCGAAAGATACCAGAGGGACATTCAAACTCATAAGTGGAAAATAAACTGACAACGCCATGGCTAAAAACGAAAAAAAACCAACAGACAAACAATAGTACACAAAACACAACATAGATAGCTAAAGACTGAGCAACACGATCCCCACCAAAAACTGGAGGATGATCTCCCCCACAATTTGAATGTTGCAGTTTTGCTGTTTGCCATATACTCAAACAATAAAAAAAAACGTGTCATTAGACGACATATATGATAATACAATTCTTTCATCTATGACTTGGAGGATAATGCAAACATGAAAATAAATTTCCCTACCCATCAACACACAAACAGGTAAAAAACAAAGGTTTCACTAAAAAAAGTCGTTAACACTAATGGAAATGGAAAATTGACTTATACACTATATTATTATATAAAATTATAAGTTTGTTTAATATCACATTGCATGCGTTTCTCTTGTTGTTCAAACATTTATTCATAGATTTGTATTATTCAAAATCAACAGTCAAAAGGTCTTCTACAAGGATCACCAACCTACACCTTTTCATTTTATTCCAAAATTACAAAAATTAATTCTACATACTGTGAAAGTATTTTTATTCTTGGTTTTCAATTTTCGTGTTTTGAGCAAAAGCTACATGTTCGTGGGTTCTTAAATTCGAGGATTTTAGTTTTCTGAAACAAATCGAGTGAAGAATTTGAAGCCATAAGAAACGAAGATTCTTGAAAAAAATCATATGTTGTTTTATAAAGGTTTGTGGGACATTACAAAATAAGGTGTTCATTTTCACTTACTTCATTGTACTTGTTCGTCATTCATCAATTTTTTAATAAATCAATTGCTTTCGGAAATAAGCTGATTCATCTATATTTACAAATTGTCTCGATTGTAGGAAATTGAAAAGTTAACATTTTAATTGAAGCACACGTGTAATCAGAAGCGATGACACTAATTAATCCGAGATCGAATGATCAACAGATTAACGATCATCGAAGTTGTTAATTTGGGCCATAAACATTGTCACTGAAAGAAAACGGTTACCTAAAAATTGCTGCAAATGTACTTTCAATTGTAGAATTAATTTTTATGTAATAAAAAAGCAAGCCCGCCCAATATGAAGTTATTTTTTTTTTGTATTAGAATTAGAAGATATAAAATGAACACTTCATCATCGCATACCATCACCGGAAGTCTGAATTTCATCGACCAAAACTAATGAGAATTTAAACATGTTAAAGGTTAAATAAATGTCGTACAGTTTATGTTTTTTTTTTTTTTTAAATCAAATGTATTAAATTTTGACTAAAGATATATTTTATATAGTTCATAGTGCGTTTGCTGATATTTGATGTATTCTCAAGAGTACGTGTATATGCCACGTACCCACATAGTCAAATCTACATTTTGTTTGTCAACATGTCCTGACTAGGACAACAGTTGTTATATTTCGTTGGATAGTTAAATTCGTTGATAAAGCCAGCCATAAATACCACGAAAATTGTAACACCACGAATAAAAGTACTTTCACAGTAGTTTGATATTTGCACCTATGCGTAGGAACCATTTTGTTTTAAATACGTACTTCTTTCCATTATGTTCTGTTGACCGGACCCGAGTTGGTGGTGTTACATCTTACAAAGTCTACCCGAATTATTTTTGCAAATACTTCCCATAAAACCGGTGCATGGTACCGTCTTAAACTTGCAGTGAGGTGTGAGTTTTTTTTATCTGCATTGTGTTGAAGGCTTCACTGTGACTTTGAGATAAGGAGCAGCAATACAATCACTGGTAATTTGTATTTTTCCTGTGCATATATTGACTTTGGTACCACATATCCTCTGTTTTCTATTATGTTTGTTAGACGATGTTGTGTTATGTTTGATTGATTGATTGATTGGTGTTAAACGCAACTTTCAACACTATTGTGCTATTTCGTGGCGGTCAGTTTTGTTTGGTAGAGGAAGCCGGAGTGCCCGGAGAGAACCAACTGATAATTCTAGTCAGTTGTGATTGGAGTAAGTGCACCTGCCCCGTGCTGGATTCGAACTCACAACCTCGGTGTTGACAGGCTAGAGATACAGTAGTTTGACTACTTAGACCACTCAGCCACCAAGACTCATTGTTTCGTTATGTTTAATTGGTCAAATGAAATGTTAAAACATAAGAGGATGTGGACAACTATTAACCAGAAACCAAATGACGTAGATAACAGGGAAAAAGAAAAATAAGTATGCAGCTCCGAACACATTATTCCTAAAACGCATGTAGAGGCTTTATTCTTTTCTTATTCATTTCCTCTTCTTACTTGTCATTTTTTTTACAAAATCTGTTAAACAACCATTTTTTTTTCAGGTTTTTAGTACATCCTCTTTTTCGATTTTTCTTGTTGTCCTATTCCCAGTTTCTTCTATCCACTATATCTGATAGCTGTGACCCACTTCAGTGTCCTCACCTATTTCCCTGATTAGCTGTGCAGAATAATATTTAAATACAGAAATTTACCTGTTTTGGTGTTAGATATTGTGCAAAATAAAACTTCGATAGTAAATAACATTCATTTGGACTTTACTTTATTTTAAACAGAAATGTTTATCGTCTTATTTTGTTATCAAGAGGGTTGATACTACCAAGGACTAATGAATGTATCTCAATTGAATAGTGACATGATTTCGCAGTTTTAGATCTTTTGATTACAGAATAGTCGTCTGCTTTGTATTTTTTACTGATTGTGTCTTATTCCCGAGTATGACATTTTGACTGAGTGTAGATTCGCCTGATGGGTGACTCATTCATATAAAGAGACGCTTACTATGTCGACTCACCAGGTCTTGCTTCTTTTGGAGTTCAGGGTTTGCTTGTTTCCTTGAGCTTGATTTGGGTCTTCTTACATGATTTTTGAGATTTGAGCATCGATAAACTACAGATATTGTTGTCTAGATTTACATTTATTCACCAAAAATTGATGCGTGATATATGCATGTTATATTGTTTTCATATTGGAGTCTGTATTACACAGTCTTAGGCCTGAGGGCGTTAGACCCCTTACAGACAGGTTCATGAGACACATATTAGTACATTGTAGTAAATATCATATTATATTACATTTGTGTATTGCATTTATTGTATGTTTGTGCACGTATATGTTTTATATGGTATTGCTCGATCCTTATGATTATAATTTCCCAATAGAAATATATAATTATTTCATAAAAAAATAATAATAAAAAAGAATATAATTTTTTGTCACCTTTTCAAAAAAGGTAACACTTGAAATTATTTTCCTTTTGGGCCATTTTCAATTACACTTCAATCTTCACTAATATTCACAGTATTTCAGCTTTGTGTGTTTAATCAGCGATTCTGATAATATTGTGGCTGTTTTCTAAAGATATTACCAAATAATGAAAGACTAAACAAAGCTGGAACTGCTGTTTTGATAGTTTTTTTTTGGCAATTTATAAGACAGTATAATTTATAGTTTGCTACTTTTTTGCTATTTTTGACCGAAAAGCTACGAACTCTCTATATATAAGGAATGCAATCCCCATAAAATAATCTAGAAATATCATTGG